AGTCCTATATATATAAGGTCAGTAGTGCAAGTGCAGCGCAGCTGTGAGCAATGGCGGGAGCCAGTGTTTGTTGCAGTGAGGCATCTTTTGGACGGAATTTTACAGGCAGTGTCAGGCAATAATAGGTAGAGAGTACCTGGATAATAGGAAACTTAAGATTCGGCTAGTTAAATAGATTTCATAATTTATTTAGATTATAGTTTTTATTGAAACGCTTTTCAAGTGTTGTGTCAGCCACAAGCCTTGTGAATGTCAAAAAAAAAAAATGTAAACATGAAATGTATTTACTTCAAAGTCTTCATGTTTCTCTACTCTATTTCGGATAATTACCCGTAATGCGCGGTCAAATGCTTCTCTGAAACACAAGTACACCGCACGGCCCGACTGTGCACAAACAACATAGACAGGGCACTACGTGAGGTGCTACCTCCGCCGACATGTAATATGTATGTGTTACGAGCTGGCTTGCTTTGACGCTCGCTGGCTGTCTCGCGCTGACCGCCCTTGACGCGTACTATCGAATCTGCGCGAAAATACTAACACACGGGAACACACTAACGCACCTGAGAGCGATCACACTAACGCTCCTCCACTCCGTTGGGCCCGGGACGCCAACGACGGCGAGGTTATAATGAGATAGAGAGTTTGACATTTTTTTATGATCATGCTTTGTTTTTGCACAGGGCGATGCGGGCTCCCTGTACTTGCTGGTGTTGTCCGGGCTTACATAGAAGCGATTCTTTTCGACCGGCTTTTACGGATAATTATCGCCACGATAGTCAAGCGACAGTAAGACGCTCGCGAACATTAAAGGAGGATCACGTGTTTACTCTAGGTTCTAGGGTTATTTTCTTCGGTTAATTTAGGTTAAAAATTCGCTTACGCACCGGCGTGACATAAAAAGTTTCTGGCCATGGTTTCCGAGGGATCACCATTAGGAAAATATTAACTTACAGAAAAACAATGTTGTTAAACTACCAACGAGCTTGCAGTCTTGAACCTACGTAAACCGGCTCGACGGTTTCACACGGTTATTGGCGCCACTCAAAGTGCATGGTTGCTGATGAAGTTGCGAAAACCACTTTTCTCAGCCAAGGGCCTACAGGACGTCGTCACGAGCGGTGTGTATCTGGTATTTGATTAATTTGAAAAAGCCCAAAAAACCATTCATGGTACCGCAGAGATACTGTAATAAACGACATATAGTTTCCAGTATATTTAATGTGATAATTTGTCCTAAATGAACTATGTCTCGCGTTAAATAGCTTTTAGGTTATGAATATATAATTGGCTTAATTGAGACGTTCCAAGTGCCTGTGGCCCTAGCTCTAGAACTATAGCCCTTCACTCTGGCACAGGGCTATAGCACAAACTATACTGCTCCCACGAGAAACGGATCACAGAAAAAACGAGGGCAGTCTCATGGGGGTGTGGGTATAGCACTGGCGTATGGTGTACGGTTTGTCAATTTAGTCCAACCATATGTCGGTTTACAAACACACACCATATTTTCCGCAAACCATACACATTGTAACGCCACCAACATGTTATTTATAAAAACCTTATCTTACTTTACAGAAACACGTGTACATTTTTCCTACCAACAGGATTCGTGCGCCACCGAACCACAATTCCCCCCACACTAGTTTGCTAAACCAACACTATACTAGTAGTTTGTCAGCGAATGATACAAGTATAGTTTGCGCAGAAAGATGGTTTTCCGTGCGCAGTGTGCAACCTTTGACCTGCGTACGTGGCTCGATAACGTAGCCTTGGGCGCATATGTCGGTCGCCGATTCCGAACCCCCCAACGCCCACCACTCCTATTGAGCATGCTGGCGCATTGTAAACAGCCGTTACCCCCCCCCCCCCCCCGCGCGGTATAGCTCATATAGGCTAATATATATATGCATGGCTATGGACTCTAGAAAAGTGTACTAACTATCATATGGCGAGAACGACTTGAGTTACATTTCTAAAATTCTAGATACATATATTAAAACACATGTCTTAGCTGTGGTCTCTATAAATTCTGAATTTAGTAACGCACGAATAGTTTAATTAATTACCAACTATATACGCGCTGTATCGCTCATAGGCTAAAATTTCCACGCGTTTGTGAGATTATTCCCGAAATTGTCAATTTCAACGTTATGAATCTAACATGTTTCCATATGTATCTACAATTTTAGAAATGTAACTCGATTCGTTCGCGCCATATGATAGTTAGTACACTTTTCTACCGTCTATAGCCGTGCGTATATTTTTGGTAATTAATTGAACTATTCGTGCTTCAATAAACTCAAACTTCACGGGGAATATAGCTAAGACTTGTGTTTATATGTATCTAGAATTTTATAAATGTAACTCAATTCGTTTGCGAGATATTAGAGTCACTTTCCTACGGCCCATAGCTTAATAGCGCATGTTGGTAGTGGTGGTGGTGGGGTAACGGCTGTTAACAATGCGCCAGCATGCTCAATAGGAGCGGTGGGCGTTGGGGGGTTCAGAATTGGCGGCCGCCATATGCGCCCGAGGCTACGTTATTGCGCCACGTACGCAGGTCAAAGGTTGCACACTGCGCGCGGAAAATTATCTTTCTGCGCAAACTATACTTGTATCGTTTGCTGACAAACTACTAGTATAGTGTTGGCAAATAGTGTGGGGGGAATTGTGGTTCGGTGGCGCGCGAATCCTGTTGGTAGGAAAAATGTACACGTGTTTCTGTAAAGTAAGATAAGGTTTTTATAAATAACATGTTGGTGGCGTTACAATGTGTATGGTTTGCGGAAAATATGGTGTGTTTTTGTAAACCGTCATATGGTTGGACTAAATTGACAAACCATACTGATACACCATACTGGTGCTGATTACAGTTGCCAGGCAATTAACATGTTTATGATTTGCCAAACAATTAAGTGCCAGTTCACCCCATGCATGAGTAATGGGCTGCCCCTGTGTTTTTGCCTACATTTCGGAAGACGGTACCCACGCGAGTATGTGGTAGCAGTACCGTTGCCCAGTTTCCACAAGTTTGTGCTATATAGCCATGTGGCAAAGCGAAGGGCTATAGTTCTAGAGCTACCTGCAACCTATCACTACGGACTAAAATTCTTCTCCTTATCTTTGAAATTTCTATTACATGGTCCATACGGAATGTGCAGGTTTGGGAATTTTTGATAGCTAGGTTTAGGTATCATGTCGTGGACTCGCTCTAGAACTATAGCCCTTCGCTCCGCTTCCTGTCGCGGAGCGAAGGACTATAGTTCTAAAGCGAGTCAAGGACCTGTTCAATGTTGTTACCCTACGGGTTTACAATATTATTTATCTCGGATATGCAGCCACGTGCCAAAATCACGTGGCAGCATATTAATTTTCCAGTCGCGTGCCAAACTCCCCAATCAAATCGGTAGCTTACAAAACTCTTCAATTAGTAATGGTTAGACTATATATAGATGTGCGCCTTGTTTAGTGTAATGTCAAGTAGTTTAATACTCGCATTTGTCTGTGTTTTCAGATATGAATACGTTATTAGAAGCATGCTTCGAAGGTAGGGTTGGACCGGCAAGTCAACTCCTCAATGAAGTGAACTTCTGTAAGCAGCAGGTGACGACACCAGCCTGTGTAACCACTAACAGAAGAAATCTCTTGGACAGTGGGGAGACATACTATGACATCAACGATGCTTTGCATGTTGCATGTTGTGGCAAGAACTTGGAAATTTTAGATTTGCTGCTCCACCATGGGGCTGATCCCAACAAATCGACAATGGGTTCAACATTCCAATTTGCGTACGAATTTAAAAAGCTATCTAAATGTCTCCCGTCCTACTTCCTAACAGCTGAGAGGTTTCAAGGACAGGCATTGCATTTCGCAGCATATGCTAATAACACGTCCATCATTGAGATGCTACTTGACCATGATGCAGACATAAATGGAACTGATTGCGTTGGAGCGACCCCTCTATTAATAGCTGTGAAGACGGGATCTATAGAAGTATCCAAGCTATTGTTAGAAAGAGGTGCAAGTCAAATATGTAAAGATGATGGTACCACTCCCCTTCATGCTGCTTTAGGAAGTGGAAACTGTGAAATTAGTGCAATTACATCTGCATTAAGTAATGTGGAAAATGTCTCCACTAGATCACTGCTAGTTGAGATGTTATTGGAGCATGGAGGCAACCCAAATTGCACCAATAAGCGAGGCCAGACACCTCTACATCGAGCTTTTGCTGATGTAGCAGTAATCAAGATTCTTTTGAAAAACGGTGTCGATTGTCATGCATCCGATAGCAATGGTCGTACGGCATTGTTGAATGCATCATGGTGCATTCACGAGGAAAATCATTCCATTCAGACAGAAGCTGTGAAAATTCTGCTTAAGCACGGCGCAGACCCGAACGTAGCTGACAGCTACAAACATCTACCTCTGCTCTACGCCTGCAGATCTGCAAATCCCGATGTCGTCAAGCTTCTGCTAGATTTTGGCGCCAATGCAAACGTGTTTGACATCCGTGGCAATCCGGCACTGCACCTGGCTCTCAGGATAGAGGAGGACGTACTAGAGAAGCAGCCAACAATGAGTGCAACACAGCTGGCGGCAAAGCGCGAGGTCATACACGACATTGTCAAAGAGCTCCTCGAGCATGGTGCTGACCCAAGCATGCCTGAACAGACGTGGGGCAAGACGGCTCTGCACATCGCCTGCAGTAAAGGTCAGCTAAGCATCGCCCGCGAATTGCTGATATTTGCGGCCGACCCAAACATACGCGACAGCGATGGTAATACGCCACTCCACCTCTTGCGTGATGGTGTCACCCGGAATAGCATGAGTCATGAAATCGCGGCGGTCCTGTTGCAGTACGGTGCACAGGCAGATATCACCAACCACAGTGGCGACACACTGCTACATTACGCATGCAGATCATTCAACAGGTCCCTCATCGACACTTTGCTAGATGGTCAAGCTGAACCAAACGTGCAAGATCGATTAGGAAACACATCCATCATGCTTTTACTGAAGCGCATAGGTCGTTATCACAAGACGATGTCAGAATCCGAATACAACTGTGCCAAGATGACTATTGAAGCCCTTCTTGATCGTGGTGCAAACCCAAATGTGTCAAACAATACTGGACAAACTCCGATGATGCTTATGTGTCTCCACTGCGACTGTGACACCATCAAAGTGCTGTTGAAACATGAAGGGCTTCCTCAGCACAGGTTATGTAAGTGCGACAGTGACTTCCTCGTGTTTTATAAACGAGTTTTGAACCACAGACCGTGGGTTAATGGCTATCATCAGCTACCACCACTAGATGTAGGAAATCCAGAGCAGACAGCAATGTGCTTCATTGATAATGGTGCAAAAATAACTCCTGATGTGATTTCGTATGCATGTAGAGCAGGGCACTTTGCAGCTCTCAAGTACATGGTATCTCAGGATGTGGACCTGAACATTCCAGACTCATGTGGGGTTTATCCCTTATTCTATGCTTGCAGCAGTCCTAATGCAAATCTGTCAATTGTACGGTTTTTACTTGACAGTGGAGCTGACAGCAACGTATGTAATCCAGATGGGTATCTGCTACCTTTGTCGTGTGACAGCAGCAACTTTGATGTCGCAAAGGTTTTGCTACAGTATAATGCAAATCCAAACCTCTATTGTGAGAACACTGGTTCACCTCTCCATGTCGTACTCAAGTATCGTACTCCAAACGAGCGGCTGTCCTACGATTCACAGTTGGAGATTATCAACGCTTTACTTGAGCACGGAGCTGAACCAAATGTCGTCATCTCAAAGGTATCCGCACTACAGCTTGCTTGTAAAAACAGTTGCGCAATCATTGTTGAGAACCTTCTGAATCACGGTGGTGATGTACATCAAAAATCTGATGGCAATAAAAGCCTGCTCCACTCTGCTGTGTTCCACCTGGAAAGGGATTCTGTCGTAGAAAGAGAGATAATTGCATTGTTGTTGAAACATGGGCTCGATGTGGACACGGCTGATGACTTTTGCAATACGGCACTCCATTACGCGTGCGATGCAAGACAGTTTGCGACTGTGTACTTCATGTTAGAGCGAGGAGCATCTACTCGCGTTGCTAATCATGTGGGTGACACACCACTTCATCTGCTTCTTGGCTGCTGGTTAGATGCGTCGCAGACAGCACATCAGGAGCAACAGGGACGTGTCAGTGACAATCTGTCTGATGTAGCAAACTTTGTGAGAGCCCTCATCCAGCATGGAGCAGATCCGTATCAGGCAAATAAAAAGATGGAAACTCCTATGTATTTAGCAGCCAACATGGGAAGCATTCCTATCTTGCAAGCACTGCTCAGTGCATGTGATGGCAAGGTAACTTTTTCTGCCGAGCAGGGCAAGTCGCCTCTTATAGGCGCTGCTCTTGCTGGCCATGATGAGGTTATAGAGTACCTTACCACACTCCCGGGGTGCTGCCACAAAGACAGCATCAAGTCTTTCCAGCTGTTGAGCACAACTAAGTGGAATGCAAAAACAAAAGGATGCCAGTACCTTAAGCGTGCCCTAGAATTGCAATCGGCAGACACAGAAACAGTGCAAAGCAGCATGCTTGCACACGAATCACCTGAAACTCGTTCACACTGCCACACACTGCAAGAGCTTCATGTGCTAGAAGCATCAGGCAGTGAAGAGGATTTCTGGCACGAAGCACTGTGGATCCAGGAGAAGCTTCTTGCACCTATGAACCCTGATCTTCAACTCACTCTTATGGAAAACATCTGCCAGCAATACCAGCAGGAAGAGAACTACGTGAAAAGTATCCCATTGTGGGGAAAAGTGATAGAAATTCACTCCCATCACATCGAATCATTAAAGCATGAAAGTACGAGCTTTGATGTGCTCGAGAGGTGTTCGAAGATTGTGCGACCGGTAGAGCTGCTCGCAGCGGAAGTCACGGCAAACATCCGACAAGGTGTATTGGATGATGCGTTAATGAATAACATTAGGCAGGTCATTGGGCTACTTGTTGACGTTGTGCAGAAACTTGGCCGCCACGCTGTTGCTTGCATGGAAGGTGACTGCTCCAAGATGAGCCTCTCACAAGAGACCAAGTTACGACTCATCCAGAAGAGAATACAGGCTGTAGCATGCAGTTATGATACCCTCTGGTTACTGTTCGCTCTGGCACTTGATGAGAAGAACTTCACGGCTTGTAACTATATGCACACTAAGCACTTAGTTGCAACATTGAATAAAGCCACTCGCGGGACTGGAGTTCGGGCATTTTTGCTTCATGGGCTTTGTGCCAGCACACACATTAGAGATTTGACCTCAGCTAGCCAAAGCATCTCTAGTCGATCATTCAGACCTAAGGACCTCATAGGTGATCACATGAACATACGTTTCACGAGACTTTTGTCGCTAATGTTGGAGTGCGGTTATGATGTAGCGCTGAAAGATACTGAGGGTAACACACCGTTACACTATGCCGTAGATCAGGTTCCTCTTGAAGAAACTGCCGTTAGCATGCGTCAGTATGCTGTTGTCAAGCTATTGCTTGAATATGGAGCACACGCTGACTCGTGCAACGAGGCAGGTTTGTCACCATACATAATCTGTCAGAGTCGTGGTGATGGCCACATCAGAGCACGTATAAAAAGCGCTGTGTGTCAAGCTCACATGCTGAGTCTCATGTGTACCACTGCCCGCGTGATCAAGCGGTCCAAACTACCCTATGAGCAATTATTACCAAATGCACTGGTCTCATTTGTAGCATTGCACTGAAGTAAAGCTATTCTTCGCATTTGACCAATGTATACGTTTGTAGAGATTGTAAAGATTGAATGATTATAATTATTGGTAATTAACCTAGTGATGGGACATGTGACAGTGATATGCTCTTGTGTGTCTAACAAAGATATTTTAATTTTTTTGAATTTCTTCAACCGGAATGGATTGTATTTTATCTAAAATAAGCCTGTGCTGTTAGAAATAATTATAACACAGAATCGGGCCAGCGTGATGTATAAGAAATGTATCCTTACAGTATACAGTAGAATATCGATAATGGTTTGTAATTGAATTGAATACAGTAATAGTTTGCAGATGTTTCAATAATTTCTTCTTTATTATTAAATCGAGGAATAATTGTAAATCAATATGTATCTAAACGTGTATTGCTGATTGAATATCATTCTTATGCAAAATATTATTCCTATGGCAAAGCACTGATTTTTTTTTATTTTAATGAAAATCGTCTGCAGCTGCATGATGTAATAAACCGTACACCCAACTGCGCTGCTGTGGCGTTAGTTGGAATCACTAATAACTAGAGAACTCGGAGAGCACAGACCTCCGCCAAGGCAGCTGAATTCTGTCACTGTGAAAAATTTTATTAATTAATTAATTAA